GTGTTCATTCATAGTTTTGATGCCTTCAGTGAGAATCTACAATGTAAATAGTCATGAAAATAAAGAAAACGCATTGAATGAGAAGGTGTGTCCAAACTTTTGGCCTGTGCTGTACATACATCTGTGCTTTCCCTACGGTCACGTCAATCTGTCTGTTTTGAAAAAGGTCTATTAAGCGTCAAAATGTCAGATGCAGAATACTCAAAAACCACAAAGATGCCAGCGAGAGAGACAAAAAGAAGCTACATGTTTGAGCAGCGAGCAAACTCACTGTGACCCTCACTGGAGAAACACCTGCTGTTGCCCAATCAACCAGTCGTTTATCGCCATTCAAAGCAGACAAACTACAATGATATATGGTACATTAACAATGTATATTTAGCTAGCTTGCATTTTTTTGTAGCCTATTATGCCCACTTTTCACATTGTCAACTGCCAACTAGTCTCTATATACAGACTCTACATTCAGTGAATGTAGAGTCTGTAGGCAAACCCCGGAGATCTTGCCTCCGGATGAAGAGCGGAAGAACCCTACAAGCCTACCCGTTGTAGGCTGTTTGTAGTCCGCGTGATATTGACCAATCAGGTTTGAGCCGGCTGCAGTTGTTGCCAGGTTAAACGGTCCGTGTGGTGAACTAACGAGGCGGAACATAATTGGCGTCACTGCAAACTCTGAATCCATTGCAATGGTTCAGCATGTTTACTTATATATAAACGGAAGTCGGAAACGGAAATTCGGCCCCTCCGTCCAAATCAAAGCAGAATGCAAAAAAATCGGGGGTCTGCCCGCAGAGACTGTATTCGCCGTCTGTCGGAAGTCAGACGCTGAATACAGCTGATGGGTTCCGAGAATGACTGCAAACTAACCTGTCTACACTCTTAACAACTAGAATTACCGCCTTGTGGTTATACACCTCCACGCACCAGTCAAGTTGCACTTAAAGTTTACGTCCATGTCTGTGAAAACATGGATGCTTCACACACATCTTCCCCCGACAGCAGAAGATCTATACAATCAGCACAAGGTGGACACCCAAGATTAGAGTCACCAATTCAGAACGTCTCCCCTTCTGTTCCTGAGTTATGACATTGAGTAACGGCCAGAAAAGTGTTTTTGCATAACATTATGATGTCACAGTGAAGTTGACCTTTGGGATCTAAAATGTCATCTTTTTATTCAATTAGACATCTCTGTGAAATTTTGATTAGCATATGAATTCTTGCCTTTGGCCAAAAGCAGAATATGCAAGGTCATAGTGACCTTCGGCCTTTGACCACCAAATTCGAGGTAGTTGATCGATGAGTCCAAGTGGGCGTTTCTGCTAAATTTGAGGAAATGCTCTTAATGTGTTATTGAGATATTGCGTTCATGAGAATGAGACGGACAAAGTCACAGTGACCTTTGACCTATGATGAACACCAAATTCTCAGTTTATGGTTGAGTCTGAGTGGACATTTGTACCACGTTAGGTGTTCTTGAGACATTGCATTTACAAAAATGAGACAGATGGACGGACAACCCAAAAACATAATACCTCGGGCCACAGCTATCGCTGGCGTGGAGGCATTAAATGACATCACTGGCAAGTGTCAACAGCTGTGGGAAAGTGACATAATAGTTGCATATGGTAGATACATATGTGGTTATATTATAACTTCAACATGATGAGAGCTGTTGTCAAACCATTCTACTAAATGCTGTGGAGGAATGATTATTTGTTGTCTACCTATTGCATTTTTTTGCTTCTGTGTGTTTATTTCATGAAACATTGCTAGGTATATGTAGTAACTGCTTTATAAAAGCAAGAGGCCACTCCACTCTGTGTCCTATTTAACATCACTTTTTACCTGTTCTAACATAACTATAAACTACGGCCTCAGTTGGTCCTGCTCAAGTGATCCTGCTGGTTGTGTTTATTATTTACTCTAGCCTGCCATCTGTTTCCCACGTCACTGTTTAGGGCAATGATATCAAAGGGTTATTCTTAGCAACCCAAGATCAGGACCATCCATTCAGAGTTTTATAATGATAGTTGATAGCTGCTTTTAAAATATGAGTGGTTAAAACATACTGAGTGTACAGATGGACAGTGGAGAGGTGGATTATAATGCAGGAGGGTTTGAAAAGGTTTCAACAGATGTTTTGACACTTGTTTTCAGTGTGACCCAGAATCACAGCTGCTCTCCTCCATGACAGAGTCAGCAACATAATGAATTGTGCAATATTTTACAACAAGTGATGACCCACATTTTGTGTTCACCACTCAGGTTTTGATATTTTAGCGTACTTGTGCAGTGGGAGGTTGCAGAGGTTATATCTCAAACATATAAACAGTTGCTGCCAACAGTGTCTCATACAACATCAACAGCACAGACAATTCATGTGAAACATTTTTGCACATTGAGCAACCAAAAGGTGTCGACTTCAAATGAATCTACTTCCATGTTAAACGGAAAGACAACCAAGGGAAACAAACAGGAGCACAGCGGTGTACATACCGTATCTGAGTCGCAGGGATGGTACAATAAATCCGGGGCTTGCTGAAACATGAGGTTCTTCTGTACAAACAGCTGCTGGTGAAACTCCTGCAGAACCTACATAGATGTGTTTTAGGAGAAAAGATAAAATGCATAAATGAGTTTTGCCAGAAATGAACCACACATCTGCAGCAAAATATTCAATTCCATGTTTTGTTTCCATGTAAATTTGTGCCTTTATTGTCATTTATGGAACTCATTGTTTCTTCATTAGGGGTTCAAGTCCGAAAGGTGAAACACTGTTGTTCTTATGTTGATTTATTATCATTTATCTTCCTAAATGTTTTTGCTAATTCCTGTAAGATGTTACACCGTAGACACACAACATTTTCAGTGATTGTAAGTTGAGACCAAATGCTGCTGAACAAATCTGACCCTAACTGACATGCTGGGGTGCAATAATTAAGGCCCACAAATGAAATTTTGGAAAGGCCATGCCCCTCACAACTTAAGTTTGACTAATGTGAAATTTGACACACAAGTCCAGCTCAATGTGCTCTAGAAAAAAGCCACAAGAACCATTGAGGCCCTAACACACCAAGACAACGGTCAGCCAACAGTCAATATTGGGCTGACGGTGAGCATCTGTCACCCTAGTTGCTGTGCTGTGTCCTGCACTGTTGACCCCTGTCAGCTTTTTTTTTTTAGCTAATTCAGCATGTTAAATTAGTGTCGGGCATGGCAGAGCCCTTTGGTGAATGAAATGACTGTAACTGGCAGTTCAACTCAGCACACGAGAAGATAAATGGAAATGAGGAAAGTAAACAAACAGCTAAAGTCAAAAGGGGGTGAGACCAAAACAAATTTGTTTCAAAAGATTACTTTTCTTAGCCACTGAGCTCTTGAGCAGAAAAGTTTCCCGACAGTTTGTGTTTATGTTCACTGGCGCACAGTAAATATGTTTTGTTCTTTCAACATTAGATTTTGTTGTTAGTGTGGTAACTGGCTAACTGGTGTCAAGATGGTCTTCCGGTTTCCCTTTTTAAATGACAAATACAGACTACCGCCGTCTGCTGGTGTGGAGAGTTATTTCCTCTCACACATGCTGGTTGGCCACCGGCTTAAAGGCCAAAACACACCGGCGCCGTACGACGCGCGTCACAACAGCCACCCCCATTATTTTCTATTTACGAACCCACACCGGCGGCGGCTCGATGCGCGTCTATGTGCCACGCCACGGCACTTTACGCTATTGTCCTATTTTTCCAGCGTCGCTGCCCTTGAAAAAGCGTTATTTTGTACTTCCCAGCCTAGCTGACTGGAGTGTGCAATAGAAATCCGGTTGACGCCCCGCAGCGCTACGCTTTTTGTGTGTGTTGGGGGCGGTACATGACTCGCGTTAATGACGCCGCTGTCATATGACGCCGCCGGTGTGTTTTGGCCTTTAGTCTTTGCGATGAGTTCATGTGCAACTTTTGGACCGAGACACAGGTGACATGAGACTGTTGTTGCGGCTAGTTTTTTTAAGTCTGTTTAGTGTGTCTAGGCCTTTAAAGTCTACCTGACTAGATATTCTGCCATTTTTTATTTTTTGAGAAAACGCATTTTTTACCTAAAACATAGGTCTAATTTGTACAAAATTTTCTGTGGATCATTATTGGAACAAGCTGCATTAAGCTTTTTGATATGCCACTGAGTTTTGAACATACAGACCAATGAACTACAAAAGGGGTTTGGGTCACTACATAGAGAGAGTTGGTAGGGCTGATTGAAAATGATGATCTGTATGAGCTGTCCCAAAGTTTAATTTTATCTGTAAAATTAAGGTCCAACCCTGAGATTAACCAGCCTTCAGAAGTGGAGCATGTATTCAATATGCTGTAGTGAAATAGATACTGACACTATATTTAGACCACAAAACCCAACATAATTAAGATTCACATATTCATGAGTGCTTCATCCAATCTCATCTAGATGTCACATTACACAAAGCACACATAAGATCTGTTTCAGGGGAGATGTGAGCTCTGCTGTGCCCTCTCCCTCCCTCTCCCTAATGATTTGTTCATATTCTGGCCTGAGCAGAAACAAAATGCTGCTCCAGCTCCAGAGAGGCAAGACGACCTGAAGAAACTGGACTGAAAGAGGTTGACAACCGCTCGAGAGCATGTAACCGAGGAGTGCTGAGGTAACTCAAACCTTTCAATTAATTAGCAGGCAGTGAGGCAGCAGTGTTCAGCTTCTCCAAAGACACTGAGTGATACTGATGTGTTAGAAACGTCCTGTACACATCATAAGGATCAGTATCAGGGATGATCTGGGTACAATCATATATATCGGGATCAGCGAAAATAAACCTGATCAAAAGCCGATCCTGTCTTTTTTGAGATGTGAGAGAGTGTCAGACTTAAGAAAGTCTTTTAAAAGTCTTCTAGTTTGTGGTCGGCATTACGTAAATAAAAGTCAAGATGGGACTGCAGATACCGAAAACTGAAGGACTGGGATGCACACGTGAAATACTGTTTCTCCAGTAGCTTTGAAGACTTACCCCGTTTGAGCTGTTTAAGAGTTGGTTGAAGGTGTGGTGGACCGCCTGGTAACTTTCCAGCTCCGTCTGACACAGCGACACCAGGTAATCTTTTACCTGCTCATAGATTCTGCCGTCTAAGACCTGCAGATAAATATACACACTTTCAAGTTTAAAGTACATTTCCACCTCCCATCATACACCCACCCTTTCAATGTAGGTCCTCACCTTGATGCAGTCCATGAGGTCTGTGTCATAGTAGCGCTGCTGGTGAGCGTTAGCTGCTGCTAGTGTGAGAAGGTAGTCGTTTCTGGCGTGGGTGGCTTTGGAGTTGCACTCGCTCCTCTTGGCTTTCAGCTGGAAGGCAAAAGTTCACGCTGAAGACCGCCAACACCAAAATGTCATAAAGTGTAAAGCTTTTTATTTTCTATGTAAAAATCTCGTACCTTTACGCTCGCCCTCTGAAGACTGGATCTGGACTGGAAGAGACTTAACTTGGACCTGAACATAAGAAAAGACATTGTTTGACTTTTGTTTTGTAATATTTCTTAAAGTTGTGGTTTGTGTACAAGCAGCATGGTTCATTTTCATGTTTTTTCTTTTGTAATCAGGTCAGCAAAATATGAACAAATTCTAAATCAAGACGTCTCTTAGGTTTTTCAATTATATAAAACGTGGCATAATTCAACTTTCATGACTGTTTCAAGTCAATATATTCTCTTTGTGCTTTAAAAGGTGGTGATGGCGTTGATTTGGTTTGAAATCTGGATTTGCCACAACTCAAATGTGTAATAATAAAAACTTTATTTGTATAGCACTAGGGTTATAAAGTGCTTTACAGAGGAAACAGCAGATAAAACCAAATACAATAAAAACAAACGCAGGATCATAAAAACATAAAAGCACCAGGGCATAAAACTAAGTCAAAAAAACTTAGTGACAAAAGAGAGAGGAATGACAAAACCAGGTAACATATTAAACATTCATGAACACTTCCCTATAAAAGAATGTTTTAAGAAGGGATTTAAAAGATGCTAAAAATATAAAACTTACTAGAAATGAATAACAACTGATGGGAATCAGAAGCCAGAGGGCCAGCAGGCTAGTAGTTCACACTAGGCTTAAAACAACATTTTGCTGTGTTGAAAGGACACAAAAGTTGCCAGAAAATTATTATAAATGTAATGTAAATGAGAAACCAGGATTACAGAAATCTGACTCCCTCTGCTAGATTTCTCCTGAAGAACACTGATTTCTTGACCTGGTAACCCGGTTTCTAATCTGCTTTTTGTATGTAAGCATGTGCAAGATAAAGACATCAAACAGGGAGACATATAATACATGAAGTAATGTGTTCTTGTGTTTTAAAAACTTGACTGAAACCAATTAAGTTAAGTAGCCTCTTGAATTCTTAAGTCTGTTTTCACCCCTTAACTATGGCTGAATTAACACTTGACTATTTATGAAATTCAGACATGTTCACGCTGTGAGGAAAAGCTCCATCTTTCTGCTCTGATTTCTCAAGGCAATTGAATCGAACGCAACTGGACTTGGTTTTGTCTTAGAAGACGTTTCACCTCTTATCCAAGAGGCTTCATCAGTTCATGCTTGTCTGACTAGTTCCAGCCTAGTCAGACAAGCATGAACTGATGAAGCCTTTTAAAAGAATCTGTGCAAGCAACATTAGGCCAAAAGAAAGCAGTAATTGTACTATTAGAAAGCACGCCAAGCCTTTCCGACGGCAAAACTTGACCGAGCTGCGCCTCAGCTCAATAATAAACTCTCCTGATGGGCAGAAAAATGTCTGCTATGTGGTGAGTCAAAGTGCCAGCTGTTCATGTTGTGCCAGGACAAAGTGTTGAAAAGAGACGGCTCCCTCAAGCCTGAATATTAGTTGTTTGTTGGACTGCGACTAAAGATTATTTTCATTATTGACTAGCCTGCTGATTTACAGAGTTTGATGTTAGAAGACTGTTTTCACATTCCTCTGCTGAAGGAGGAAAATTTTCTCCATGCTCACATTGAATCTTGGTTTGAGACGAGTAGGTAGAGAATAATTTGTGACATCACAAATATTTTGCTAACTAATCAGTGTCCAGTATGCAACTTACACAAGTGTGATGGGGAAACTTGTGCACATAAATAGAGGATGGACTTTCCAGTGACGCAGGAGACACCTTGTGTCCAGCGGTTACATTTTTGTAATCAAAAACATTTGCATACTTTTAGATCCAAGATCTTTGTCGAGGAGGCTGGAGCAGATGTAATTTAAAAGCACAGTATTTTAATATGTCTGGATCATAAACCTTATTTTTGTGGTCAACCTCCCACTGATTTGAAATCCATCAATCACATCCCCGGATTCATTTTTTATAATGCACATGTACATCGAAAAGCAGCACCATGCTAGCTTGAAAGATGGAAGCACTTATATTCAGCAGGTGGAAATATTCCCATTACTTTAAACACATCCTCAAACCTCCTGAAACACCTACTATGACAGCACAGCAATGTAAAGCGTCAAAGGTGAGCCCCTTACAGCTGTGGCAGATGGCTGTAGCCCTACGATGACTGAACAACCTAAACTAGATTTAAATCATGGACAGCTGCAGGCTACAAGCGACAAAGAACTCATGATGCTTGTGGCTGGACGTGTAGTGGATGAAATGTTGTCAATCTCCATGATTGACTTCCCATTTTCAGACAGATATCATCACCATAATCTACCAAAGATAGTGGAGCAATTTGGTTCATACTTGGCGTCAAGCTCTGCCTTCTCTCGGACAGCCTGTGCCATCGTCTCGGCCTCCTGGTACTTCTTCCTGCTCTTGGTAAGCTCCTTCACCGACTCCTGCAGCTCAGCTTGAACCACCGTCAGCTGTTCAATACACTGAAGGAAAGACAGGTTGGAGACAAACAAAGAAAAACAACTTTACATTTATGAAAATTATTATTCTCACAGTGCACCACCTGAAAAATATTCAAATGCCTCTTAGATATATCTACAGAACACGTGTTGTTAGTAATGTCATGATGGCGTGTGGGATACAGGAGCTGTATCTCCTAAAAGGTGAGTGCAAACAAGAGCAGCATTGTGGGCTGCAGGGAGTGGAGCGTGGCCGGCAGAAACCAGTTATTTTTCAGCACAGAGTCGAGGCCGACACAGGAAACAGGCTTCACCTACAGACACACAGCGCTCCAGTGTGGGACAGATACTGAGCTGATATCAGTCATTCTTAACAAGAGCTGATGTGACCTCTGTTCTCATCTGGCAGATTATTTATTGCACTGTTTATCAGTATTACTCCAGCTGTTTATATAAAGTTCCCACTGGAAATTATTCTGCAGTGACACTGACCAGGGGACAAAGAACATGTTTCCAGCAGAGTTATAAAACTGAGTTGTATCACCTTCCTCAGCTGCTGTTCCTTCTGCAGTCGGGCCGTCTTGGCTGGATCAGCGACCTGGACTTTGTAGTTATCGCAGGCGCTGATTCTGGACTGAGTGACCTGGACTGTGCCTTCCAAATAGGCCCTCCATACACAGTACATGTTCCTAAAACACAAATATAAACAAAAGTGCATAAATATTATTCCAGAGGTGACCGGGTCCTCGAGTGCAATCAGTCACAGCCTTGTGTCAGGTAAAAACTTGAATTCCTTTTTTATGTTACACATTTGATGTTTTGAAAGTACAGCTTACTAGCCAAGTGGCTAGTAAGCTTTAAAAATCTACTGGCCAGAAATTTTTTTCACTAGCCAAAAATCATAAATAGCATTTTGGTATATTTTCAATGTGTTATTACTATAATACACTCGAGCAATTCTCAAACGGGAACGCTTACATTGGTTAACTGGCCTCTTTCTTGTTGTAGGCTCTTAAAATTCCCTCGCTCTGTGTTTCCAACTGTTGCAGCCAGTGAGCACAGACACGCAGTGTGCCGGTGGATCTTATCAGCCTTTCTAGGGCGTGGAAATGGCGGACCGCGGATCTCCAACTACAAGCTCACGTTCTAGCTCCCACTTTGCGGCATGTTGTGGGCTTGAAGATCTGTTGTACGACACCGGCGCTCAACCAATGACATCACATACACACAGCCCGGGGCGGGAGAAACAACAACAACAGTAGTTTGGTCTTATTTTTTTCACTTCCCAGAGTGGCTGGTTAGGTGACTTCATTTACTGGCCAAAGGGTTCAAATTAGTCGCCTCTGGCGACTGGCGACTGCTAATTTTGATCCCTGGTTCTGAGTGATAAGACCCAATCGGGGAAGCGTACATGGGCATCTGTGTCATCGTTTCTGAGTCTCACTTGCCGTCTGTCCAGACTAAGATGCAACCCCGGTCTCTATTTTGGGGGTTCCAAAAGACCGTGGTAGGTTGGACCCCCGGCGTAATCTTAGCAATAGTTACGCATTTTAAAACAAAAACGTATTAACCCTTTGAAACCTGGATCAATATCAGTTTCTTACGCTGCATTCAGGCACCTTTCACAAGCACTTAAACCTTTGAAACCTGAGAAAATTGGTTTGATTTTTTTCAAAACGTGAAATAAATGACAGTGAGTAAGAAACTGGTAAAAGCTACAAGAAAAACTGAAAATCTGAACTGAAATCAATTATTAAAAATAGAGAAAGACAGAAAATAGATAAGGATAAGCAGTTATGGAACATAATTAAATGAATGAATGAATAAATGAATGTCCAGAAAACTGTAGTTATGATTATTATAATATATTCAAGCTTATGTTATGATTTACATACATGTATATATTTTGCCATTTTTAGCCCTTTTTTCAGGTCATTTCCTTGTTTATTGTTGTTGGGGTTTTTTTTTACTTATCCTTTCTTGCTAATTTTCGGGGGTTTTTTTCTTGTATCTTTTTACTAATTTTGGGTCATTTCTAGTTAAGCTGCTCACTGTCTTCTACCCATGTTTTTAGAAGAAATCAAGCCAATTTGCTCAAGTTTCAAAGGGTTAATGTGGATGTACGTAGCTTCAGTTTCCTGTAACCAAATGATCATTTTGGAGCTCATACTGCACAATTAATTGAAATAAGATCATGATCTCCATTTGGGTCGTGTTTACATTACCAGGAAAATTGACTGCATCAAAACAAACACTCTTAGTTTCTTCCAGAGCTGCATCAATAAATAACAAGTATGCATTATGACTAGGGTTGCATAGGGCCTGGAAAATTCCGGTTAATTATCGAAAAATTTCCGAGGGAAGTTCTGGAATTTGGGGAATTTTTGCAAAATTTCAAAGAGTGCCTTTCAGGGTTGGAAATTATCACCAGCCACCAGCCAAATGCTGGTACAATGTACAAGTATATGCTAAATTTGGTTCACTCACCATTCAAAATAAAAAAAAGTTATTCTATTGAGTGTCAGGTAGATTTTGGAATCAAGCAGCCACAGTGGCAGGTGGACAACAAAGTTCATTTCCATTTCCATTTTGGGTTAATACACATAAAAAAGCAACCACAAAGCAAAGTAAACCCATTTGATTGGATTGTAACCATGCACTGCATTCAGCAGCACATGTACAGATCATTTGCCAGTTTCCCATTACAAAGGAATTCATGAACTGGAATGAAAAAAAAAAGATGTTCATGCCTAAGAATCTTGAGAGAAAATCCTGATTTTAATTCTTGATGGAAAAAAATGTGATTCTTATTTTGACCACAATTCTGCTTCAGAGGACAGGCCTGATCAACATCATGTACCCGCAGTGGAGAAAGTTGTTACCTGTGGTCTGCTCGTTCTTCTGTCACACTCTCTGGCCATTCCCTCTTTAGATACTGATTTGCCAACTTCTGGAGGGCCTGGAAGAGAAGAGGTAAAAAAACAGGGATGACCTTTCACCTTTGACACCAACACACATTTCCTGCATCTCATCTTCACACAGGACCTGCTCTGAAAACTGCATTCCCCCTGACCTTGTCCTATAAACCACCAGGCAGCCAGAGGACGTAGACATCAGGAGACACTTTCCCTCCAAACATAAAAGGAGTAAAGCCAGTGAAAAATAACTTTTCTTAGATACACAACACTACCTTTAAAATCCACGCTCATTAAAAAATCACTTTTAGATGATCGTGTGATTCAATGCCACATGGACTCGTTCACCTGTTAACCAGAGTCTAGAGGTTGGCCCAGATGCTGGGTTTTATGCTCAATTTTTGGGAAGAAAAATGCAATATATTCAGACCACATTCACCCCTGGAGATATATTAGGTTGCTCCAACTCAGTCCAAAAGTGAGGTTAACCTTTGAAGAGCTGAAATAGCAGGACAGAGTAAACAAAAAAAAAAAAAAAAAAAAGAGTGAGGAGGATATCTCTGATGTTTCTGAGTGCATGTTTGGTATGTCAGAGAAATGCAACCAGAATAAACTGATGGAAAGAGCATGAATATTTTTAGCCTTGTGCAGATGATCTAAGAGGGATTTAACAAGTATGCTGCTGGCTAGAAATACTCATAAAAGCCACCGCTAATTGGCTTAACTAACCCAATTTGTTTTGTTCAGGGATTTTGTTTGGGTTCAGCCTGTCACAATAAAAACTGGTTGGAACAAAGAAATCATCGCCATAATTATTTGGTTTACACCACAATGAATAAAACAATAAACGGGGGTGACAGACTGGCAGTTGGAGTTTGAAAGATGTGGATTTTCATCTAGCTATCATGCTGCATCATGGGGGTTGTAGGATGCAGCATTTTTGGAGATACATTTGTGCTGGGGACCAAATATCTGGATATTTCAGCTTCTGCTGCATAGATTTGTCTCTTCAAGGTTGCCCAACTTTACTGCATTTCTTAATTGCTACAGTCAAAGTTCTGCATTTGAGTTACTGGAACACTGCAGCAGGGGGTACAGCAGAAATGTGATTGCATGTAAACAGGCTTTACAATAACCAGGTTACTGCAGTGTAGGTAAACTCTGGTTTCCTGTCTTAACCAGGCTGTGGGACATCTGTTTTTTTGATTTTTACTTGTCATCACGCACACACATTAACTATATTCCTTAAGTTTATTCATTTTGCAAGTACTGTATACCACAAATTTATATCATTTTATGTTATTTTAATCCCTATTCTTTTACTTATGCACTATTTTATATCTTGTACTGTCAATTTACTTGTATAATTCAAAAAGCCCTATTGAAGGGAGCCTGAGAGCCAGATTTTCCATGCCAACGGCTGCTTCTCTGTAATTGTTGCCCACATGACAATAAAGAAGTTGAAACTTGACCTGATTGCTCACAGTAACCTGTTTGTTGCATGTAAACAGAGTCAGTGTATAAATGTAGTAATCTACTGCTTTGTGTTACCATGCCTCTGCTGCAGCTCAGCAAGGAAACACTTTCTGATTGAGGACAAAGACGGAATTTCGTACCAAGACAGTGAAAAGTTCGAAAGACACTTAACTTGTCTTCAGCAGAATCACATTTTTGTACAGAATGAGGGCTGTAGATTTTGTCCCCCATCACTTACACTGAAATTGCTGACAGGAATATAAATTGTATAGTACTAAGCTCTCTATGGTCCCACTAAAAGTTTCTATCAAGGAGAGCAGAGCAACTGAGAAATGAAAGCGTATCAGTGCAAACAGGCTTTGAAGGACTCTGAATGAAAGACAGCCAAAGAAAGGTTATAAAACATCTCCTCACAACAAATGCTTTGTTTAGCGAAAATAGTATCATTTGGATTTCCATGAGCCCACAAATGGATATAAGACACCTCAGATAATGCTGCACAGGAATTTTGAGACATTTTTGTGGACGTTTTATAAACTTTTTTGCTGTCTTTCGTTTGGCCTGAGTCAAAATCTGTCTGCTCTCCTAAATGGCATTCAACAGAAAACTTTTTCTGGGACCACAGTCCTCACCAAAGGAGGTGAGTGCTATATATTGTTTTTTGGGTGGACTATTCCTTTCAATAGGGGTACTGTTTACTGATAGACTTGAATAATGTGAAACTGTTGTTTAATGGCACAAATAATCTACTCAACATCAGGAAGACTTTTAGTAGGAAGCGGTGAGAGGTGGAGTGATAGTAATTGCCAAAATGTTTTAAAATGGTGTGGAAAAAGAAGTTCCTATGAAATGACATTCATTAAATCCCAACATGAGCTCAAAATAAACAAAAGCATGGCTGTACCCGACTGAGGATTATGTCAGTCAAATCAGATTGAGTTGTTCAATACGAATATTGAACTGTTTGTTCCTTTTGCTCCATAAAAAGTTTGAGAGTTTGAACAGGGTTCAGCCGGACGTTCAGAGTAACAGTGACGTTCAAGTAATATAGTAAACAAGACAAGTTAGCCCTTCGAGCTAATGCATGCTAACTATGCCAAAGATAAGAGACAATAAATAAGATAAGGATAAGAAATGTACAACATCGTTTGCCAATACTAGATATCAAACAAAAGCCAGAGATTGTGTCATATTAAGTTCCTGTGAGCTGTGAAGTCACCACTTCTAAGCAGAAGGCAGAAGATAATGTCATCTCAGAGCCTGAACGGGTCAAGCTTCTGTTCCTCTGGGCAGACACAGACCCAGAGTGAGACGGAGACAGCTCTGTCTCACTCAAACTTACACGGGCACTGTGTCTGCAGCTGCCTGTACCAGAGAGCAGTGTAGAGGCGAGGAGCGCTCGCTCTGCTGCTAAATCTGGGCACTGAAACGTACCCAGAAGTAAACTCACTGCTTGATTTGAGGAATCTCTGTCAAGAGGGGGCTCTCCGACTGCTGAGTCAAATCTTTGACTTTCAGAGAGGGAAGTCCTACAAAAATTCCTCCAAAATGACATTCAAAGAATCTGCAACATGAGTTCAAAATAAACTAGAACACTGCTGAAATAAATGACTAATTTAGTTTGTAGAACAACAGCTAAAACTACTTTGGTTATAATCAGCAAGAACTTCTAAAACTGATAGTCAATGTGCAGGTATTTGTGTTTACTGTGCAAAAGAAAAAAGAGCAGCAGTGATACAGCTAAGAAGTCAAGACAGGTAAAGAAAACTAACTTACATCCACAGAATATCAAAAAGAAAAATGAATCAGATCATGAACAAGTTGTTGTTCATGTTTTGCACTCATAAGGAATATACAGCTCTGATGTGCAGCACCAGTATGCAAAATCGATGCACAAGCTAATGTGCTACCACGTAAGTTTCACATGTGTACAGATGATGTTAAAACAAACCTTTTTAAAGTACTCCACTACACACAGCCCACTTGGGGTGCAGTTACAGATAGCAAAAATGAAAACGCTTCAGGTGGCATTTAATGATGCATTCAGAGTCTTGCTTAAGCTCCCGAGATGGACAAGTGAAAGCCATACGTTTGTGACGAGTAATGTTCCCAACCTTCATGTTGTGCTGAGGAATTTTATGTACAGACGTGTCGATTATCTGATTAAAAAAAATAATTATAATGGCATTAACTGAGTGACACATGGTACTCCAGTGACATCTCTGTGTTCCTTTCTTCATATTTATTTTATCCTTATACTGATATGAACCTATGTGTCTGCAAGAAAGTAGAGTTGAATAAAACTATTCAATAATTTTAAAGAATCTTTTAGGACTTTAATTGGCTCTTTAGATAACTGACCACAGGTCAGCGTGTTAAGTGTCAGGACAAATTAAGTATGTTTGTTGTTCCAGATACAAGCTGGCTTTCCTCTTCATACTAAAAAGAAACACCACTTTTTAAATGTTTTTTGTGTTTTTGCTCACCCAAGTGATTTGTGCTTTAGTCCCCAAAGAGTGCCCATCAAGGAAATGAGCCCATCTATCCTTCCTCTGTCCACTGTGAAAAGACCAGCCCTGTCATGCAGTCCTGAGACAGGCTAGGCCGCAGCTCTGAACTCATTGGTCTTGGTGATCTCGGTGCCAAAGCTTCAAAGCCGCTACAAACCCGGCCATTGTGGGATTCAGATGGAGACTGAGCTAGCCTAGTGGACACTCCTGAATAGTGTGATGGGAACAAGTGAAGGGGAGGAGGAGGGGATGCGAGGACGAGGCAGAGGAAGAGCCACACAGAGGAGGACATTTTATCACAAATGTGTGATTTGAATAGCAATCGGCTAATGGCTAAAGCAGCTTGCAGGTGGAGGAGACCCTAAAGAGAGGAGATTTGAAAAAAATAAATAAATAGAGGGGAGAGGGAGGTGTAACCAAAGGGGGCGAAGTGTTCCAGAGACACTCTGACCCACTTTGATTTAACTATTGGCAGCGGGTGTCTAATTGGTCACATAACTAACAGGCAGCACAACCCAGACACAGAGAACACCTTTCAAACTGAGGCACACAATGAGGACACTTTCTTCATTTAAGGGCTGGAAGAAACCATTATTTTCCAATTTTTACAATTTATTAATTAATACTTTTGGCAATTAAATGTAAGGAAATCCAAAAAATTGCCCATAAAAATGCTTCACAGTCCAAGTTGACATTTTCAGATTGCTTGCTTTGTCCAATCAACAGTCTCAACGCCAAACATATTCAATGTACACTAATGTACACAGAAAATAAAGACATTCAGGAAGGTGGCACCAGCAAATGTTTTGACATGTATTCAATAAATCAATTATTCATCTATCTGGTGCTAAATTTTCTCAGCTCATATTACCAGCGTCTAATAACTACTGTCACAAGATTAAGTCCATATCCTATTCCTCTACTACATTTTTTTCTGCATTTTAGGTTTTCAATTAACGATTACTTTCATCATCCATTAATCTGTCTGAATTTGTCTTAATAAATCTCTGAATCATTTGGTCCATAAAATGTAAAATAAATCAGTGAAAAGTTTTCCA